ATGAGAGACTGTGGACTCTGAGAAACAAACTGAGAGTTCTAGAGGGGAGGGGGCTGAGGGGATGGGTTAGCCTGGTGATGGGTGTTAAAGAGGGCACGTACTGAATGGAGCACTGGGTGTTATACGCAAACAATGAATCATGAAACTACATCAAAAACTAATGATATAGTGTATGGTGATTAACATAACATAATAAAAAAAACTTAAAAAAAGACCTTTTTTTTTGAGCACAGGAAAAATGAAAGTAGTTGTTAGATTAGGACAATGGTAATAGGTGATTTTCACCTGTTTTAAAATTTGTCTTTGTTCTGTTATCAGCTTCTCAATTACAAAAGGAATAGAAGTCACAAATATAATGAATATTATAAATGAATCAGGATGTTGATTACTATAATTTTGCTGGTTAAACCGTATGGTACAATGGAAAATTCTTATGGCATGGTGGCCTCTTTGGGTGGTGAAATGGCAATATCCTATAAGTCAGTCTTGACCTAGCAATTTCAATTCTAGAAAGCTGTCTTGTTAATGTACTCGCATGTGTGCCTAGAGGCATACACGCTCAGTGATAATCATTGTAGCATGGTTTGGAATGGTAGATGGTGGGAAACAAACCAAGGTCCATCAAAACAAGACTGGTTAAATAAATTATGGTACATTTATAGAATAGGATAATATTCAGCTGCTGAAATTATGATGTAGTCTGGCTTCCGGTCCAACATATATGAAGTTTGGAAGTCACCACACCGTAACAAGTAAAAAGCTGAACAAATAAAAAATTTAGCAACTCTTCTTAGATCTCTCAGAGAAGTGAGGTTACAGAGCAATCCGCCACCTCTAAATTTGGAGAGACCAACAGGGAATACAGAAAATGACAGCTTATTAGAGCCCTGCTGAAACCACTGCAATAACCAGTGCCAGGATAGAGAAATGAACTGTAATTGACAAATTGCCAGAGGCTCAGCATAGACAGGTCAGAGAGATGAAGACTCCAGGGAAACCTAGTCATAGTCTTCCTTCCCCCACTTTTGTGTTTTAATTCCAGGGAGCTTTAACAGGTCTGCACAGTGAATATCAGAGAAAAAAAATCCCCCTATAATTCAGGCATGGGCAGGGGAAAAGTAACCATTTTTAAATACATGAGAGCATTCTGTTCTTAAGATCTGCCCTTAGGAGAAACTGGCCAGAGCCTAACTGACCTGAGGGAAGAGAAATACTAACCTCTGAAGGCTCTATCTAGCCTTCTGTGTGGAGGAAGGGAAATAATCAATTCCAGCCCCTTCTAGCCTTGAACTTTTAAAACTACTCTTTAAAAATGTCTTTAAGAAAGTCAGTAGACTGTAGATATGTGGATATTTCCGGACTCTGAATTCTGTTCCATTGATCTTTATGTATATCCTTACGCCAGTAGAGTCTACAATTACCCTAGTTTTGTAGTAAGTTTTGAAAGTGGGAAATATTAGGTCTTCAAGTTTGCTCTTTTTTTTGGAAAATTGTTTTGGTTATTCTGGGTTCCTGTATTTCCATATGAATTTTAGTGTCAGCTGGCCAATTTCTGTAAGAATGCCAGTTGGGATTTTGATAGAGATTACATTGAATATGTAGATCAATTTGGGAGTAAGATTTGGTCATCTTAACAACATTAAGTCTTATGTTTCTTGAACACAGAATGTCTTTCCATTTATTTAGGCCTTCTTTAATTTCTTTCATCAGTGTTTTATAATTTTCAGTGTACAAATCTTGCACTTCTTTTTAAATTTATTCTGTTTTTATGCTATTATATATAGAATTGTTTTCTGATTTCAGTTTCAAATTGTTTATTGCTAATATATAGAAATACATTATTTCTATTTGTATATTGATCTTGTATCCTGCAACCTTGCTGAACTTGTTTATTACCTCTAATTGTTTCTTGTGATTCCTTAGGTTTCTCTTTATATGAAATCATGTCATCTGCCAATAGAGATGGTTTTACTTCTACCTTTGAAATACAGATGCCTTCCATTTCTTCTTCTTGCCATACTATCCTGCCTAGAATCTGCATGTCTTGTTAATGGAGATGGTGAAAGCAGACATTCTTGTGTTAATCCTGATCTTAGGGAGAAAGCTTTCAGTCTTTCACCATTGACTATGATGTTAGCTGTGTGTTTTCCATAGATGCACTTTATCAGGTTGAGGGAGTTCCCTTTTATTCCTAGTTTGTATGGTGCTTTTTATCAGGAATATGTGTTGGATTTTGTCAGATGCTTTTTCTGTGTCTATGGAGATAATCTTTTGGGTTTTTTTCCCCTTTATTAATATAGTGTATTACATTACTTGATTTTCATATGTTGAACCAACTTTGTATTCCTGGCATAAATCCTACGTAGTCATGGTGTATAATTCCTTTTATGTGTTGCTGACTTCAGTTCACTATTATTTAGATGAGAATTTTAACATCTATATTCATAAGAAATATTGGTTTGTAGTTTTCCTTATTTGAGGCATCATTGTCTGGTTTTGGTGTTAGGGACTGGCCTCATAGAATGAGTTGAGGAGTATTTCTTCCTTGCCTGTTTTTGGAAGAGTTTGTGAAGGACTGGTATTAACTCTAAACCTCTGGTAGAATTAACCAGTGAAGCCTTCTGGTCCTGGACTTTTCTTTGTGGTAAATTTTTTGACTACTAATTCAATTTCTTGCTACAAGTCTATTCAGATTTTCTCTTTCTTCTTGAGTCAGTTTTAGTAACGTGTGTCTTTCTAAGAATTTGTCCAATTCACTTAGGTTGTCTAATTTGTTGGCATACAGTTATTCATAGTATTCCCTTATAATATTTTTATATTTATTTTTATTTCTATTTTTATATCTGTAAGGTTGGTAACAAAGTACTCACTTAGATTTCTGATTTTGATAACTTAAATTCTTTTTTTTTTTTTCTTAGTCTAGCTAGAGGTATGTCAGTCTGTTGATCTTTTCAAAGAATCAACTTTTGGTTTTGTTGATTGTCACTATTGCTTTTCTCTTCCTAATTTCTATTTTTAACTTTTTGAGGAACTAACATTACTTTTTCCACAGTGGCTACACCAATTTACATTCCCACCAACAGTGCACAAGTGTTCCTTTTTCTCCACATCCTCGCCAACACTTGTTATTTCTTGTCTTTTTGATTCTAGCCATTCTGACAGGTATGAGGTGATAGCCCACTGTGGTTTTGATTTGCATTTTCCCTGATTCTTAGTGATGTTGAGTATCTTTTCATGTGTCTGTTGGCCATCTGCATGTCTTCTTTGGAAAAATGTCTGTTCAGGTCCTCTGCCCATTTTTTAAAAAATTTTTTTAAAGATATTTATTTGACAGAGAGACACAGCAAGAGAGGGAACACAAGCAGGGGGAGTGGGAGAGGGAGAAGCAGACTCCCCACTGAGTAGGGAGCCCAATACGGGACTCGATCCCAGGACCCTGGGATCATGACCCGAGCCGAAGGCAGACACTCAATGACTGAGCCACCCATGTGCCCCTCCTCTGCTCATTTTTAATCAGATTATTTGGTTTCTTGGTGTTGAGTTGTAGAAGTTCTTTATATATTTTGGATATTAACCCCTTATCAGATATATCATTTGTAAATCATCTTCACCCATTCAGTAGGTTGCCTTTGTGTTTTATTGATGATTTCTTTCACTGTGCAAAAGCTTATTTTGGTATAGTCCCAATAGTTTACTTTTGCTTTTGTTTACCTTGCCTGAGGAGGCAGACATATCTAGAAAACTGTTGCTAAGGCTCATGGCAAAGAGATTTCTGCCTGTGTTTTCTAGAAGTTTTATGGTTTCAGGGAGGGACAGTATATTTGAAGAGAAGCAAGACCTGGATTCTGTTTCAGTTGGTGTGTGTAACATTATCTCTCTTAACAATTTGAGCCTCAGATTTTCCCATCCACAGAAGAGAGGTGTGAATACATCTCCCCATCTACTCTATAGGGCTGTGAAGTAAAGGCTATTAGGTTTGTAGAGGTGCTTTGGTTCCTTTAGAAGAAAAGCGCTTAACTTCCTCAAGGCTTCATTATTGTTACTTCCAGTTCTACTTCCCATTGTGTGTCCTTGATCAAGCCACTGAACCAATTGCTTCTGTTGCTCCCTCCACCCAACACCCCCCCTTTTTTTTCCAGCCCCCTCTCTTTTTAAGGAAGAGACAATGCTCATTCTCCCCCATAGACATGACAGTAAATTTATTCTTATTTCCTTTTATTTTATTTTACTTATTTTATTTAAATTCAATCAGTTAACATATAGTGTATCAGTTTCAGATGTAGAGTTCAGTAATTCATCAGTTGCATATAACATGACAATAAATTTAAATTGCTTTACATGTGTTTAAAATTACTTGAAGATGTTCAGGAAAAACTGCTGTTGTTATTTGCAGTTTGACTGGCAATTAGGATTATTTTGCACAAATGGAGTATATTTTAATGTAATCCCGAATGTGATTATTTGAAGTTTTTTTTTAATATTACACATAATACTAGAAATAGTTTTGAAACCTCCTATAGTCCTTTGTATATATTTCACTCTCCCTCCCTCTCTCTTTCTTTTTTTGTCTAGTATCTCCCTAGCTCTATTAAATCCAAGCTTCTTTGTGAAAAGTGGTTAGAACTCTCAGCTTTTTTTTTAAATTGTAAAATATACATAACATAAAATTTACTATTTTAGCCATGTTCAAGTGTACAATTCAGTGGCATTAAGTACTTTCACATAGTTGTGCAATGTGTGCATCTGTTTTTGAAAAATACAGATCCCATAGTTGCTGGACAATATTTGTTTTGTGAACCAATATTGTCATTAAAATTAACTAGTATGGACTGTACTGTTTTTCTGACTTATTTTGTGAAAGCTGTGAGTTTTATAAAACGAGGTCGGTGTTGATTTCAGTAGTCATGCTTCCTTTTCCTCATTATATTTCTGAGAATGACCTAAACAACCTAATTGTTTATCCACAGGATGTTTAACCCACATCTCTTTTGGTGTCGCAGGTTGCAAGGCAGGCAGGAATTAACTTGGGGACAGCCATGTCAAGTGGATTGTATCAACCAGCAACAATCTTTATGGGCCGCCAAATGTCAGCTGTCTCAAGCGCTGGAGGTTTCAGTACAGAGCAGAAATCTCCCCAGCCCACAAAGAACTTTTCAATTCCTGACCCACATTCACACCGACAGACAGCCCAGAGCGGTAATGTGACAGACAGCTATGTAGTACAAACTAATAGTGACACACAGTGCTTAAATAAGTCTGACAAAATAGATGGAAAGACATCTCTTCAGATTGGTGAGGAAATGCCAGTCACAGCCAGTGCATTGTCTGAGGAGGAACAAACTCATTGCTTGCAGATAGGAAGCAACACACGTCATGGGGAGAGTAGTTTATCTGAAGGCCAAAAGTCTGCTGAACTCCATTCCCTGTTACGGAAAAGATTAAGTCCGGAGAACAGAACCACTGATTTAAAGTGTGACAGTTCCAGCAGATCAGAGGGATCAGAGGGAGAAATACTGACACAGGAACATATTGAAGTCAAGGAAGAAAGAGCCAGACCGCCAGTCTCTCGGGTATCAGTCTCAGAATACCGTGCATCTGAAAATAAGTGTTCTCAAGAGAAGGATTCTGCTTGGGAAGGTTTCTCAGGTGGGGCGAGAGGCTGAGATTGTTTGCTGATTTTTGTTGGTGTTCAGTTTTGGGGGTGGTAGCAGTCTTACATAAGAACAACATACACTCTTTAATTTTATCTCTGTCAAAAAAGCAAACCAGGGACTTGGCCAACAAATTCTCTTCTAATGAATTCTTGAATATAGACATGGAAATATTTTTGCAAGCTAATTTGCTGATTTTAAAACCCACTGTGATATTTTTAATGATTTTTCACATACTGTAATTCATTGTGGATTGTTTCTACATGTTTTTAGCTGAGTAATTCCGCCTGTGAGGCAGAACGTGTTTACCTCGTTTCTCCCTGAAGTTAGTGATTGGTAATCTATTCATATCCCCTTACAGATCATCTTCCTCCCAGGGACCCGGAGTCACAGAAACCCTTCAGAAAAATGCAGGAAGAGCAGGCGGAGGAAAGTTTGAGCAGCAGTAGCAGTGACCTCACAGTCTCTGTCAGTGAAGATGATCTCATTTTCAAGAGTCCAGAACCACAGTCAAATCCGAGTGACAAGATGGAGGGAGAAGATGGAATAGAGGCCTTAAAATTAATCCACTCTGAGCAAGAAAGAGATGCCCTATCCACTGAAAAACATAATTGTATTTTGCAAACCCTAAGCTCTCCTGATTCAAAAAAGGAATCCTCCACTAACTCACCAACAAGAGAGTAAGCCATTCAATTTTTTTTTTACTGTTCTGTTTTTAATTATAGACATTTTTAGAGACCCTTCCACTGGGAATGTATTATTGAACCCTCAGCCATGAATGTGTAAGTTCCTTAAGTCTCATAAACAGTCTTTTAGATAGGTCTAATTTTCTTTTCTTTTTTTTAATGAAATAGCTTTAAAAGCTTGAATATCATTGAATCATGGTGGATTGGCAGTTTATAATTATATCCAAACAATCCCTAGTTAATTCAGAAGTCATTCCCCCCCACACCCTGCCTTCCAGCCTTTTAGAAAATAAATCATTTTGAGGGCACCTGGGTGGCTCAGTTGGTTAAGCGACTGCTTTCGGTTCAGGTCATGATCCTGGAGTCCCTGGATCGAGTCCCGCATCGGGCTCCCTGCTCGGCGGGGAGCCTGCTTCTCCCTCTGACCCTCCCCCCCTCTCATGTGCTCTCTCTCTCTCATTCTCTCTGTCTCAAATAAATAAATAAAATCTTTAAAAAAAAAAAAAAAGAAAAGAAATCATTTTGAAGTTCTGATAACACAGAAAGTGACAAATAGTTAAACTTACTAGGAGTTCAGCTTTAGAGGCAAAGAACTTTGTATCTAATTAATTTGCTTAATCCTTCTATTCCTTGCCAGGGTGTCTTACGGTTAAATATGAATTTGTAAGTTGGCTTACAGTTAAATATGAGTTTGTAAGTTCTGCTAAGAGTATTTTTAAGTCAGCTTTCCTTTTCTGAATGTAAATATGAGGACACTGGAATCTTTAATGTTAAATAGGAACAACATCAGTGTTATACATTCTGAGCACTTACAATATCCACGTCATAGGGGCACCTGGGTGGCTCAGTCGGTTGAGAGTCTGACTTTTGGTTTCGGCTCAGGTCATGATCTTATGGGTCATATGATAGAGCTGGCTTAGCATTGGGTTGTGTGCTTAGTGGGGAGTCTGCTTGAAAAATTCTTTCCCTCTGCCCCTCCCCCCACTCACGCACACACTCTCTCTCTCTCTCAAATAAATAAATAAATAAATCTTTAAAAATATAATATCCAACTCATAAAAGCTCATTTATGATTTTTTACTACTGACTTATATAGAGAGCATAGAAACTGTTAGAAAAGCAATTCTGCAATGAAAAATAGCATCACATCTCTTGTAGGGGTAGAAGGAACCTAAGTAAACAACCTAAGATAGATCTCATCTTTTAAAAATGAGGAAACCAAGGCCAAGGACATAGGAGTGACATTTGAGCCATTGGGGCAGACCTTCTATACAGCCTGCCTCCCCAACCTCCACACTACCTCCAGAATTTTCTTTTATACCGCAATGGTGTCACTGTTTGTTTTTTTTGTTTGTTTTAAGATTTTTTATTTATTTGACAGAGAGAGACACAGTTAGAGAGGGAACACAAGCAGGGTGAGTGGGAGAGGGAGAAGCAGGCTTCCCGCCGAGCCGGGAGCCCAATGTGGGGCTCGATTCCAGGACCCTGGGATCATGACCTGAGCCGAAGGCAGAGGCTTAACCACTGAGCCACCCAGGCGCCCCTCACTGTTTGTTTTCAACCATCTCAGCAACAGTGAAAAGCTAAGTGGGCATTCTTGTGTATCAGGGTATATATTCTCTTCTAGAGTACTTTGTCCTTTTCAATATAGTGCTTTTTACCATTCATAATCTACTTATGTGAAAAGTTTAATTATAGTCTGATTGACTCCAAGCTGGCATTCAAGAAATATTTATTAAGAGCACCCCCAAGTACAAAGTACTTGCACAGTGCATGGAAGAACTGACAAGTTTCCTCTCCTGGTTTATTGTGGAGGCAAGCCAAATGGATTTTTCTAGTCATAATACTTCTTTCCCATCAAAGAGGTACAGATATTGCATACTACGTCATCGGAAACTTTATTACTAGAGATAAAATCATCTATTTTGGGTTTTGTATTCACAGGCTTCTTTTTATAGCAATTTATTGGCCAAGTTAGTACTTTGGTAGGCTAACCAGGGGGCTAGTGTACTTACTCAGGATTCAGTCTTTTTCTGAGATGAAAAACATTGAGTATATGTGTGGAATTAAGAGCATTCTATCTCCTTTTCTCCTATATGAATGTCTTTTTCCTATGACTTTAAAGCCAAGCTCCTTGGAATTTTGAGATATGGTTTTCTAAAATTTATTGGGAAATACGGGCATTTGGGGAATTTTTAAATATTTGCCTTAAAAGAATGCCCAGAATGAAAGGTCAGTCAATATTGGTTGATGTCTGTGCTGTCAGATTTGAGCCTATTGATTTTTTTGTGGTGAAAGTACTCCCCACGAATAGGTTGTAAGTGGTTTTAAATAATGCTGGTTAACCTGCTGACATTCCCACTGCTTTTGAGGCCCTACTTTCTCTTATTTATTCTTTAGCATGAGCTACTCTTCTTTGCTCTGAGGCTTAATTATTAATCTGGGGCTATAATCATATTTACAGAGCTGACACTGTGACCTCCAAGGTTCATTATCTCAGTTTACTTTAGGGTCTTTTGGGGGCTTGGAGAAAAGTCATTTGAATGAATTTTAGTTAACAAAGATGAGGAGGTGGGACAAAGGCAGACACATAGGAAGATACAAACAGAAAACTAGAACCTCTGATGATGATAGTTACTATGTTTAGCACGTCTTTGTGCCAGCTGAATTGCTGTGTTCAGACCTAAAACTTGTCTTTAGCTTCCTGGCAATAAAGGTGAAAAGAGGAGTGCAGTATGCTGAATAGCTTCCATCTGAGAGGAAAAATGAAGCCAAGGATTATTTTGTGTTGTTTGATTTTTGTTTGTTTTGTTTAGAAAAAAACTGAATGGCTTTTTTGAAATATAATTCACATACCATACAACCCACCCATTTGAAGTGTACAATTCAAGGGTTTGGGGTATATTATGTTACTGATTTGTAAAAATTGTGCTATAATATAAAAAACATTTGAAAAGTACCATCTTAAGCATATAATTTAGTGACATTCACCATACTGTGCAGCCGTCACCACTGTCTATTTCCAAAAGTTGTTCCTCACCCCAAATATAAACTCCATAATCAGTAAGCAGTAACTCTCCATTCTTTCCTCCTCCCAGTCTCTGGTACACAATATTTGACCTTTTGTGTCTGGATTATTTCAGTTAGCATAAGATCTTTAAGGTTCATACATGTTGTTGCAAATATCAAAACTTCATTCTATTTTATGAGCTAAATAATATTCCAGTGTATGGATATACCACATTTTGTATATCCATTCATCTGTTTATGGACTCTTGGGTTGCTTATACCTAAAAGCCAAGTGTTTTTGAGAAGCTTCATGACCCAATCCCATGGATACTTCCAGACTTTGAAAACCAGGCTGTGCTTCATGCACAATTCCTTCATCACAAGTTATAATTAACCCTTCTCACAAGAAAGCATACTAAAATGAAGCTGAGGAAAAAAAACTGTCAAAAAGGAGGACCTAGAATTTTGCTTTTCAAATAGTTTGCTGCAAATGTTGGTACAAAGCGCCATGACTTAGAACACCAGACATTTATTACTTTTCATGTATCAGGTGGTTGGCCCAGTGTCATTTGGGGCCACAGGGATAATTTGGCCATGTGCCCCTCTTCATCCAGGAGAGTAGTTCACCCTGTCACCTGGTGGTGGTAGTGGAGTTCCCAAGAGAGCAAGACGGCAAGCCCCAGGGTCTCAGATGCTTTTAGTGTCTTGGCCTGAGTCGCATTCGCTAGTGTCCTGTGACTAAAGACCTGTCCAGTCCAGCGTCAACAGATGGAAAAGTGAAGAGGTCCATCTCTTGATAGGATAAGTGTCAGAGTCACATTACAAAGCGGGGGTGGGGGGGTACACAGGGAAGGGAAGCTTATGGTCACTTTTTGCAAGCCACCACAGTACTTTAGGACAAACTCAAATGAAGATAAGCTCAGCGTGAGTCCAAAGGGCAGGAAAGGTTTCGCACAGGTGTTGATGCAGCATCTTGAAGGCTGTCGAGGCTGCGATTCAGAAGGAGGTGGAAAGAGGTGAGTTAGGTCCGGAAGAAGAGTGCGGGAAGGCACGTAGATACAGAGCACACAGAGGGCAAGGGAGGACAGAGCAAAGGGTGTGACTGCGGCTCACTGAACAGGACTCCTTGAAGTAAAGGTTTAAGATGGTGCCTGAGCTATGGCCGGGAACAGGCCTAGAATATCAGGTTAATGAATTTAGAGTTCATTTTCTACCTTTTGCACAACGCTGAAGGGTCATATGGTGAGTAACTTCACTTAGGAGAATTAATCTGACATGATTAGTTTCATCAGAAAACTAATGCAGCAATTCTGTCCACAAGGTAGGCAGAATTCTGAGGTGGCTCCCAAGAGTCCTGCCTCCTGGCATGCATTCTGTATAATCCCTTTGCCTTGAGTGTGGGTGGGACTGTGCATCTGATGGATTTCCCTCCCATGATTAGTCTATGTTATATGACAGACATGAAGGATTTTGCAAATATGATAAAGTCCCAAATCAGTTGCTTTTGAGCTAATCAAAAAGGAATTATCCAGAGTGGGCCTGACCTAAGCAGATCAGCCTTTAAAAGGGCCTGGGTCTTTATGAAGTCAGAGATTCAAAGCAGCTGATACACTCTCCTATTTGCCTTGAAAAAGCAAACTGCCATTTGCCGAGAAGGCCACATGGCAGGAAATTCATTTGCCGACAGCCAGTGAGCTTGGAGGAGATCCAGAGTTAGACAAGATTGCGGACCTGGCCAGCACCTTGATTTCTGCATGGTGAGACTGAGCATAAGACCAGTTGCCAAGGGGCGCTGGGTGGTTCATTTGGTTGAGCATCTAACTCTTGGTTTCGGCTCAGGTTTCGATCTCAGGGTTGTGAGATCCAGCCCTGTGTTGGACTCTGCGCTCAGGGGGGAATCTGCTTGAGATTCTCAGTCTCTCTCTGCCCCTCCCCCTGCTTACGCGCCCACACTCTCTCTCAAATAAATAAATCTCTTTTTTAAA